GAAAAATAATGTGTTTTTCGAACAACCTAGTATGAGAGCCTGTTCTAGTACACCTCCAAAATCAAGACTTTGTAAAAGACTTTGTAAAAGAGCATAATAGGACCCCTTTAACAAAATGAATAAAAATACACCATGCGATAGGCCTAATATAAAATAAATAACTTACACAAAGTTTAAATATATATATATATATATATATATATAAATAAGAAACATAATTATTATTATTATTAATTCAGTTTTATTTCAATTACTCAAAAAGATTTAGTTTTAGTTTTAACAGTAATAAACATGTACAAATGTAATTATGGAAGTTGAAATTGACCACCAAACCAACAATATTACCACAATCCATTCTTTCAAATCTGGCAATTTTATCTTTTTCTCTTTATCTTGTATAGCTTGTATCCTGATTATTGCTGCTTTTGATTATATTGAATGTGTTTGTCTTTGTTCTCCAGGAGGAACATGGCACCGTTTGGAGTGAAGGTTTTGTGCATTGAACCTGGATTCTTCAAAACAAGCATTACTGACTCCACTGTCTTTGAGAGCCATTTGCAGAGATTATGGGAAAAGTTGCCTCAGGAGGTCAAGGATGAGTACGGCAGTGATTTCATAGACAAAAGTGAGTTCAAATCCAATAACCGGTTTCAAATACATGTCACACTCCCAAACTGTTTGCAGAACTAGTTCTGAAAGCTAATATACATTCCTGATGTCCCTATGGTTGTGTTTGCAGCGATGCTGGTGGTTAAGGAGAAGTTTGAGAAGATGTTGGATCCAGATCTGATGAAGGTGGTGAGCTGTATGGAGCATGCTGTGGCTGCGGTCCATCCTCGGACCAGATATTCTCCAGGCTGGGATGCCAAGTTCATCTGGCTGCCTCTCTCCTACATGCCAACCTTCATCTCGGATGCTTTCGTCTTAAAAGATGCTGTTAAACCAAAAGTGTCAGTTCTGTAAGCATAAAATGCAGTCATGCTATGCGTATGGATGGAATAAACCATTTTTTCCACTTTTGGGGGGATGTATGGTTAGTATGAGCAAAATTAAATATTTTCTTATTTGAACGAAAATTACATTTAAACTCAATCTATTGTTCTACGGCATTTAGATTGTAGAAATAAATTTCATATAGATAATCTTGACTTTAACATCTTTATGCATTATTTTGAACTCAAGGCCCACTCATTTCCAAACGCGAAAATTACATTTAAACTCAATCTATTGTTCTACGGCATTTAGATTGTAGAAATAAATTTCATATAGATAATCTTGACTTTAACATCTTTGCATTATTTTGAACTCAAGGCCCACTCATTTCCAAACACGGACATTGCAAAAACTAATTAAAGGCATTTTCAAGCAAACAGCGTGCACAAAATATTTGTGTGAATATTGAATTGAAATGGTGAATTGTGAAATATTTTCTTACTTTTACAGCATTTCAAACTTTCCCATGCAGTACGCATGAAAAGTTTGGTTCCAAAACGCTATAAATCCATTTTGATTAATTTGAGTAAAAATGTTTTCTTTACCAAGAAAGTGGCAAGATGAAAACCACTATTTTCTGTTTCAAACTTTCACATAGCATCTTTAGGTTATAATAACATAAAAAATTCAAATCCAGATTTTGATTTTCAAAGATTTATTATAAAATTGTATTCTTTTTTGTATTCTTTTTGTTTCAAAATGCAATAAATCCATTGAATCAATATAAAAGTTATTTTTCATATTGAAACTGTTAAAAATACACAACATAGTAAGTTGATCCACATATGACAGCCTCTGAACTTGGTCAATACTAATCTTATATGCAGGCACTGGACTAAAAATACATTCAATCAGTCATAGCTCCAAAAAGAATTCAACGGGTCATCTTGTTAATGCTATAAATTAATTACAACAATAAAAGAAAATTTCATCATGAACATACATGAACAACAATATCACATTAAACCACAGAAATTCCAAAATGACATTTCCCTTACATTCAACTTCCAAAAGTCCATTCATCTTTGCCACGTTACATTCATTTAGTTGACTAGTGCTATACGGTGTATTAACAAAAACATTAATGGCATAAATAAAAACACTTATACTGACAAGCTACGCAATATCGCGTTTATAATCGAATGCGACTCATCCAATATCGCGTTCATAATCGAATGCGACTCATCTGCGATTATAAACGCGATATAG